AGCAATGTATATCAAGTGTCCACCAAAACCCATCATTGTTCGGAAAATTCCAAACGGCTTTTGAAAATTTGTGTGGAATTTATTCTTACCCCGGTAAAGGTCGAACCCTACTTTGGGGATCTGTTTCGGGGGCAAAGGTGTCAGCGCCGCGCGCCCGCCGGGTGCTGGGTAGGCAGCCCGCTGGCAGTGCTCCCGAGCGGGTGGCCCGCCCCGCGACTGGCAGGCGCTTCGGCCGCGGGCGGGGAGCTGCCGCCAGAGCTGCCGCCTGAGCTGAGCTGCCGCAGCGGACGGCAACGGGCGGGGCCGGGTGCCCTGGGACCGCGGCCGGGTAGAGGCGGGATTGGGGTCATGTCTCTGTACAGTGCAAGACGGCCAAGGTCAGGGCCAGGGCGTGGCGGGGCGTGGCGGGGCGTGACGAGGCGTGGCGGGGTGTGACGTGCCGGGGCGTGGCGGTGTGAGGCTAGAGAGCGTGAGGAGAGGAAGGCCGCCCCACCCACCTGCGTGTTGAGCATGACGTAGATGAAGGGGTTGTAGCAGATGGAGCTCTTGGCGAAGAGGGCGGGCGCGACGGTCAGCCCCGGCGCGAGCGGGCCCGGCGGGCCGAAGGCGGCGTACAGCGAGAGGCCTGCGTACGGCGTCCAGGCGAACAGGAAGGCCGATACCATGAGCCCTACCATGAGCCCGATGCGCTGCTGAGCGCGCGTCACCTGCCCGATGCGGATCGTGTTCTGCAACAAGAAAAGCAGCAGGGATGAGGATTTCAATTTTCCGTAGTAGTCTCTTTAGGAATATTTCCAGCTTCGTCTTTTGTTAATTGTCTGACTTTTTTCTCCGAAGTTTCACTTCTTTCTCAAATCTTTCTGGAAATATTTTAGTATTTGTTTTTCTGAAAGAGTCAGTTTCTATTGGGGAAAAAAAGTCCGACTATGTAGTCGGCGCCGCAACGGACCACGGTGTTCCGACGTCACTAGTTGCTGCGCCCAGTCCCGAAAGGTTCCCAAGACTATATTTTACCGCTGCGCGTCAGCGATAAATTTCACCACCCAGGGACAGATTTTACGAAGGAGCTGACCACCAGAAGGAAAATTAATCGACATAGACAAAAAAGAAAGTCTTCGGGAAGTAAAATTAATACAGAAACAGGAATCAACATCACTAGGGCTTCCACTCTCCCCGAGAGGCCGAGGGGTTTTTTCATTCGGTATTTTTTGTACACAGTATTATTAAATTCGGTTATTGTTACGCGGTTTTAGTCAGGCATTGCACAAAAACGTCCACAAATTTTGAGCATTATTTGATTTTGTCGATACATACCAAGGGGGATAACTCCCTTTTGAAGTTTACTCATGATTCCCGAAAAGCTTGATTCCTAGTGATTCATAGTGACTATATTTACTCGTTAGGTTTTCTAGCGGTAGAAAACTCTTAATTCAACTAATTTATACCAGTTCCACTAGTTTCCCGCTTAGTTTAATCGTTTCCTGTTGATTTCGATTAATTTTTATTCTGATGATTCCCAGACAGGTGTACACATGATAACCGGAGTTCTTGCCCACTCGGTATATTACTGAGCTAGAACATCCTGGAATACGCGCCCGGGCAATCCCTGTCTCCTTTACGAGGAAATTCTACAGCGCTGCTTTGGGGCGCGCACATAGAAGGCGTCTTTTCTGCCAGTTGGGCCGTGAACATCAATCCCTCAATCCCTTAAAGGCCGGAAGTAGTGAAGCTCCGGCGCTGCGGTCCCGACCACGCGCGGCGCGGGGAAGGGTTCAAACGAACCGCGCGCGAGCGGGCGAGCGCCGGGCCGGCCGCGGTTATAAGAGAGCGGGCGTGACAGGAAGTTGGAGCAGCCAAACAACTTGTAAACAGATTCTGGCCCCGCTCCGCCCCGCTCTTCCACGTCTCCTCTCACCCCCGCCCCCGTTCTGGCCTTGGGCGCTACTTGGCGTGTGAAGGGAGGAGCAGAAAAGCTCGCAGTCGTCGCGGCGGTGGCGGGCGGAGTTCGACAGGGACCGAAGGCGACAGCGCGCGGGGGTACAGCACAGCATTTCTCATCCCTCCCATGATTCCCCCCTCCCCCCCACTCTCTCGCGCTCCCGTACACACCCTGAGCCGTGGGGATCGCCGCGGGGACCGCTGCTGCGGGGCCGGAGCGGGGGGAGTTTGCCCTGCCCAAGCGAAACCCCAGAAGCACCGCGCGTTTCGCCCGAGGGACGGCGGGCGTTTGCACGGCGCCAGAAGAAAGCGACCCAGCATCCAGCAGTCGGGGCAGTTAAAAGTTTTGCACTGTCGTATTCGTCCTATTCGTCCCGGCGAACTCTCTGCAACTTCCGCGCATTTTTTTAAAAAGGAGGACCTAGGACTAAATATTCAATACAAATAAAACAAAATGAAAATACACGAACATGATGGCCTGAAATAGGGCCCGAAGTCAGATCAGATGCGTATACTTAGTGAATAAAATGATCAGGCTATAGAGGAGCGAAGGAGCTCCGGTTCATAGTTGAGAATTTATAATCTTGAACACAAGTTTTCGCAAATTACTTTTTGAACATTTTCAGCCTTCAGCCCCAGGATCGCCCTGAGAGTCGTTTCTAAAACACTGATGGTATGTTGTGTAACCTGTGTTGTGCCCTTGTTCTTTGTCAACGGGTAATGCACGGCATGCACAGTGATGCTCAATCAGGCTCAACGCCTCAGTGGCCCGGGAGAGAAGGGGGTGGGGGTGGTCGGAGTGGGGAGGAGGGCACTAGAGGCGCTCGAGACGCGCGCAGCACCCCACCCCCGCTCCCTACCCCGCTCGCTCTCCACCTTCTGCATCGTCCCTATCCGCCTCATCTCGATCCTGGTCCTCTTCGGGGCCCCCCTTTCGATACCCCCCCTATCTAAGCCCCCGCACCCCCTCCTTAACCCCGACGCATCAGCAGTCAGTTAGTTAATCGTGTAACCATACGCCTTCCCACTGCAGCCGCTATGTGTACACACGTGCGTGTGTGTGAGAGTGTACGTCATGTACATACACTCACAGGGGAGGCGCCCAAACTGCACCATGGAAACTGTGGACTTTGCAGTCTATGATGACGTGCGTCTTGTCGTTGGATCCACCGAAGATGGATAGATGAGGGGGATGGGGTATGGTACACTATGGTATACTATATACCTTAAAAGAGGCGAGTAAGTTCAGTTCGCCATTTTTCTGAAAATCAATTATGAACAAAACAAAATCGAACTTTCATCTCCAATGTTGTTCTTTTTGTTGGTACACGACGGTCCGTGCTTGCAATTCCTGCAAAGCAATGCTCTGCAGAACTGCAAAGGATTAAGATCCTTTGAAACTACGAAGTATTTACTTATTTGCAATAACAAAACGATGCTTTACAGCGTAAAGACGCATTGCTGGCATTGCTTCGCAAATGCAAAGCACCGCTTTCCGAGTGCAAAGTAAATGCTTCACAGTTACAAAGAATCTAAATGCTTCGCAGCTCTGCAGGAATTTAACAGTGTGACGGTGAGTATTTGCTTATGAACTACTTTGCTGAGCATTGACAATTTCCTTCCTGGGCATTAACAACACTACCGACCAATTTAAGGAGCACTGGTCTTCTATGGATCTAGGACTCATGGGCTTTTGTTGTTGTGTAATGCTCATTCACATCCATATTGATGTTACATGTGACATTCATATTTTTGTCAGTTAGTAAATTGTGTCGTGTCTTCTTCTCAAAAGTTCGCTCGAGGCTAGCGTGGGCGAGCGCCGCAATAAAAGGTCCACGCGAGGAGGCACCTCGGCGAGGATCCCCTTGGCGGCGCGGGCAGCGCGTAGCAAACGCGTGGGGCCGCGAGGAGGGGCACAAATTGCTCTGCAAAGCGCTCCCCGCACCCACCCGAGCAATGTCCCGCGAGAGGGCTTTCGGGGCGCCGGCGGCGCGCGCGAGAGAGCAGCGAGAGCTCGGGATAAGGGATCCACTCCCAGAGCCAGTCTTACAAAGGGCTGCTAGGGAGAGGAGTCGGGACTCGCGAGCACAACGCGGCGCCACATGTCCCCGCGGCACCAGGCCCGACCCCGGCTCCGCCTGGCTCCGCCTGACTCACAGGGGGCCGCCCGTCCCTTCACTTACGTAGCGGATCGTGCACATGATGTTGACGTACGACCAGACCATCACCAGCACCGGAATCACGAGGCCGAAGAGGAAGAGGAAGACGATGTAGGAGGTGGAGTTGCGTGCTCCCGTCTCCCAGTTAACGGAGCAGCTGCGCAAACAGAGAGAGTTATTAGTTTTCGCTCGCCTCGTAGTAGTGTGTTTGTGCAACGCTAGTTTGCAAAGACACTATGGAAATGGGAGCGAATCCCCTACAGAACCGCGTTCTAGACCCACACACTAAATGGCGAGGGACAATTTTTGTACGTAGGCTGGATGTGTCTTTGAGCACATCTAAACCAAATGCAAATTTGCATCCAAGTCACATACAAAATATAGCATTTGTACCTAGCCTAGGTACACTTTGTGCCTCTGTACAGACAAATTTGTATCTGATGAAGATGTGCTCAAAGACACATCTAACTAAGGTACAAAAATTGTCCCTCCCCATTTAGAGTGCAATCGTGTGGAATTCTTTTATTTTAAGAACCAAATGTTGAAGTAGGTGCCAGCCCTCAACTCAAGTGAAGAAAACCACCCTCGAAAGAAAAGGACGGAGTTTCTGCGTACACTTGGAAAAACAAAAAGTACGACTCGAGGGGTTGCTCTTTACAAAAGGGGACTCGGATTAGCATTCTGGCAAAGGCATTAAAACAGACCAAAGGTGTTAAAGGCAATGTCTTTGGACCTTTGGACACTTTCGTGCCTTTTGCAAAGGCGTTGAAATTTAACACAACTAGAATGTTTCAAGTTTTTATTTTTTAACTTCTAATTTTTTTTCTGGAAAAAAATTCTGGAAATATTTAAATTTTTCCCTTTTTTCTGAAAAAGTTTCAAATTTTTCCGGAAAAGTTGCAGACTGTAAAATTTCCAGTAGTCTCTAGTACCTGATGTTGGCGGCCTCGTTGGTGTACTCGCCCCAGCCGAAGAGGGGCGGCGCGGTGAGCGCGAAGGAGTAGAGCCAGGCGGCCGCGACCAGCCCCGCGGCGCCGCGCCGGCTCAGCCCGCCCACGCCGAACGGCCGGCTGATCATCATGTACCTCTCGAAGGACAGCACCGTCAGCGTCGAGATGGACGTGATGCCTGCCGGGTCAAACTTCACTATCATCTCTCGCTCCCCCTCTCCGCCTCCCCTTCACCGATCCACTCCACTTGCGAGAGCCTTTGCGTGTCCTACTCTCGCCTGCCTCTCCATCGACGTCCCTCTCTACCACCCGCGGACTCACCTGCCCCATTGTACGTCCTCGTATCCATGCCCCCTCCCCCCAGCTGATACGTTGTCGAGAAGGAATGAAAAAAATATGGGGCACAGCACGGACACTACGACCGACTGACTCAGAGTCGGGAGGTTCCCCCTGCCTCTCGAACGACAAGACGCGATAAGCTAGCAGTTCTCGGACACGCCACCAACCCCCAAATCAGCAGCCTCCCCACGCACCTCCCCATCGGCTAGAGGCCGTCCGGCCGGGCGGCCTTCTTCGAGGGTCCTGTTAGCGAGCGAGAGTCGGCCCGCCCCCTGCCTATCCCTTCTCACTCAACGACCCACGTGGATAGCGACACAGGGCCACGTGACGCAGACCAGGTGGCGACGCATGGAGCCGGGAGCCTCCCCCTCTGTCTTGTCCTCCGGAAGCAGCGACGCCGCCGCCCGCCTCAAGGGGGCACTTCTTTAAGAGATTCCCGAACGAACGGGCGGATGCGAACGCTTTCAGAGATCTCTTAAAGCAGCCCCCCTCTCGACCGGTGCGTATATATCGCAGTCAGCCTCTCAGTCCGCGATGGCACACGGCGGCGGGGCGGTGACTTCCGTTTCAGATAAACCCCACATTATTCAACTGAGAGCATTTTTTTGTTTCGCCCTTTGACCGGATGCTTTCTGCTGTGTGCGCCACCCGCGATAAGTGTTTTATTTGTTTTATTTTTTTTTATCATTTTTGGTTGGTAAGCGTGATAAGCGGGCAGTTGCGCCTGCGGGCCGGGCCGGGGGGCAGCCAGCCAGCCGCGCGTGGGCGCGAGCGCGTCACACATTCGCTGCCTATCCCTCGGCCGACCGGCTGACGACGCCGAGATTAACCAGTTACCCCCGGCCTGACCGCAGCACTAGCTGGAACGCAGGGGATGGGCCGACCGAGGTCTAACTGCGTGAACCGAGTTGTGGGTGGCTCCAGTTCGGTATGAACAAGCAGTCGTGATAAGCCTTTTTGAAGTTGAAGAAGCTTCTACACCCTAAGTGTCAATAGACAATTTTTGTCCATTGCAAAAAGCATCTGTGAGCGCATCTTGCAAGATGCAATTTTGAATCCAGAAAA